GAGTATGTTGCTAAGAGGCCCAAGGACATTTTGACTTTTTAGCCAAGAAACTGGCTACTTTTATTTGGGGTCTTTTTTACCCTAGCTACCTAGCCAATTCTTACCTCCTAATCTTATCACACCATCCTGTGAAAAGGTTACCCAAATTGCCAATAGGGAATCGGGACACAGACCACTCTGGCTTCTTTATGCTGAACATGGATGCACAGTGAGGCAATTTACCCCTTCAGTGGGTCTATCTAAAAGACTCCCAAATTGCATTAACTCTTACCTCTAGGGGGAAAATAAAGTCCCTGAATTGTGACTAGGAGATGTGAAGAAGTAAAGGCAAGAGTAATTAGCATTACAAGTTCTAGACAGGGAACTAGAAAAAGTCAGAACAGGGCAATTTTCAAATGTTCATATGAGAGTCCACTAGAATTTCTTGACAAGGGTTTCCAAAGCATCTGGCTATTGGGTTCCTCCTCATTTTTCTTTTGTCTTCCAGGCACTAAGTCTTATCATCAATTTCTACACCTTCCATTTCATCTTTGTTTCAGGCTGCATTTGCAATTACATAGATTCTTCTTTACCAGTTATATGAGATAATCTTGGTTCTCTTCCTACCTTTAAAACTTTTATTTCTGAATTTTTCTTAGTTTTTTGGTGTTGTCTTCTTTAGATTTTTTCTCTCTCATACAGTAAAAAATAAGTATTTATTAGGCTTGGTTGGTGGGTATGCGCTTTTTTCTCTGGTAAATTTAACTTCTTCCTGATTCCAATTATCTCTCTTATGAGAAGGAATCCCCAATTATAGTGATAGCTACTAACCTATTCCTGACACTAAGATCCTTTATTCCAAAGGCCTGATAAGGATCTTTAACTGATTATTTGGTCAGAATCTCAAAACATAGCAAAATGGCAGGCATGGTGGTGCATGCCTATAATACCAGCACTTGGGAGGTAAAGATAGAAGAATTATTTCAAGATTATCCTCAACTACATAATCAGTTGAAGGTCAGCCTGAACTACATGAGATATTGTCCCATGTCAAAAATAAAAACACAAAAACACAAAAAACAAACTTGTCAAGATGAAATTGTTAATTACACCTTTCCTTTGAGTTTTTCATATACATATACACGTATGTGTGTGTGTGTGTGTGTGTGTGTGTGTGTGTGTGTGTACTAGAAATATAATCTAGGACTTGTACATGCTAAGCAAGCACTCTATCATCAAGCTACATTTTAGCCCCTATCATTTTTTCTTGAACATCTCTTTATTTCAGGTTTTTGAAAATAAAAGAAGTTAAAATTTTTTTTTAACTAATTTATTTTATGTGTATGAGGGTTTTGCCTACATGTAACTGCATCCATGTCATGCAATGCCCATGGAGGCCAGAAGAGGAGTGTCAGTTCTCCTGGAACTGGATTTAAGGACAGTTATTAGCCACTATGTGGATGCTGGGAACCAAACTCAGGTCCTTAGGAAGAGCAGTCAGTGCTCTTAATTGCTGAGTCATCCTACCAGTTCCTAAACATTTTTATTCACTTATTTTTCTTTTATGTATATAAGTATTTTGCCTCCATGTATATAAGTGCATCTGTGTTGTACAATGCCTGCAGAGGCAAGAAGGTGTTAGATCCCTTAGAATTGGAGTTATAGATGGTTGTTAGCCACCATGTGGGTGCTGGGAATGGAACCTGGGTCTCTGGAAGAGTGGCAATCAGTGCTGTTAACTGCTGAGCCACCTCTCCAGTTCCTTGTTTTTTTAATGACATAGTCTCTCCTAACTCAGTTATCTCTCTTTTACTCTAATACTTTATAGGAAATCATTTCTCCTACCTATATATGTATAAGTGCTCCACAACTCAGGTTTTTTCTATCAATATGCACACCTATGGCTAACTAATTAAGCCTCATGGCTTTAAATACTATGTTCTGACATCTCCTAAATATATATATCTCTAGCCCCAACCACCCTCTGAAATTTCACATTCATAAAGCATTATAGGACAGTGGATATCTCCACTTGGAGTGTCTCAATCTTTATATTACCTAAATCTGAGGTCCTGCCCTTCTCTGTCTATATATTGTCCTATTTTAGTCACTTCTGGCTCAGTAAGGGACAATTCCATTTTTTTCCAGTTGCTCATATCCCGAATCTAAGCATTGTGGTTTTCTTTCACTCACATCTTTCATTCCTTCTGCCTATCTACTTTTTTGTTTTGCTTTCCTTTTATTGAGACAGGATCTCCCTGTAGTCCCAGCTCACCTAGAACGCACTATGTAGACCAGGTTGACCTTGAACTCACAGAGATCCGCCTGCCTGTTCCCCCCCAGCACTCAGGGCTGAGATTAAAGGTGTGTGCCACCTACACCTGGCTCTGCCTATCTACCTTTAACAAATTGCCAACTGTTTTAGAGCCTGCTCACTAAGACAAAAACTACCATACCTTCACTGTCTACCAGACTGCTACCATGTGAAAGAACCCAACAACTAAATGCACAGAGATAATACACATCCAAGAGCAAGTGAAGTATCACAAGCCACTCATGAGAAGAAAATAAATTGGAGGAGAGAAACCAAACCTAAAAAATTAAATAATAAGAGATCTCACAGGCTAGAGATGTGGCTCAGTGGTTAAGAGCACTGGCTGTTCTTCTAGAGGACCCAGGTTTGATCTCCATGGGTATTGTACACATGGGTACACTTACATACTTGCAGAGAAAACAGACACAAAAAACAAAAATAAGGGGCTGCAGAGATGGCTCAGTGGTTAAGAGCATTGACTGCTCATGCAGAAGACCTGGGATTGATTCCCAGCACTCACATGGTGGCTAATAACCCTCTGTAACTTCAGTTCCAGGGGCCCCAATGCCATCCTCATCTCTTTGGGCACTGCATGACATGGGTACACTTATACACATGTAGGCAATACACTCATACACATAAAATTAATAAAATATATTTAAAATATAATAAATTACTTAATTGAAAAAAGAGATCTTACAAATTAAAATGAGAGCTTTCTTTTTCCTATATGTCTAATATTGCCTACTATATGTTTTTATTATATAGACAGATGGCTCCTGAATTAGTCTTTAATTCCCTTTAATTCCCCTTTCCTAAATAACCAGTGATAATCTTTTACCAGTAGTACTAAGAAAATATCTCTGGCATAATTTGGCTTGTTTTCTGGGTCTTATGCACTATCTATTTCATTCAATTTGTTTGAAACTTCCACAATCATAACTTTTAATCATAAAGTTTAATAACTTTTTTAAAATTTATTTTTACTAATTTATTAGTACTCATTTGTTAGGATATTGACAGGCCCACACATTCAACAATTTCTATTGGGAGCTTATAAGCACAGCCATTGCTACATTAGGCTGTGGCAGCTTGCCTTGACTTAAGCATTGGAGAAAGAATGCTTCCACTTTAAGTTTCCCTGCTCTCTGCTTCTGTGATCAGAGTTGACAGGCTATGCTTCCTTGATTAATTGGCAGTCTTGGAAACTTAACCAAAGAGTTCTGTTTCAATTTATGGGCACTGGAATTTCTCAGCACTGATAGCTTGGTTTCTATAAAGAAATTATGAATTATAGTAGGTGCTAAGAGTAATCACAAACAGTACACCTTATATCTAAGATACTATAAATATTATGCAGCTGAATCTTGGATACTGTCAACGTCATGTGAGTTTCGGTTGGTGAAGTAATGTATTCTTGGTAGTAACGTAATCTTTCTGTTTAATGATGTAATCTTAGTTATTCCTTGGTTACTCCAGATCTGATTCCTATATAAGCTTGGTTTGGTTCACAATAAACATGCACTGGCACATAGACCTCTGCACCTCCTGTGCCTTGATTTCTATCCGTCGGGGTCCCCAAGCCCACTAGGCTTGGTTTGTGGTCACTGCACCGTGACAGCTGGCGCCCGAACAGGGACCCCTAACATTGCGCCTGGAGGAGGTTTTGAGGATAGAGTTGTAATTTATGTAAGAATAATGGGACAGGGTAAGTCTACTCCTTTTGTTTCTTTAATTCATCATACTCTTCGTATTAATGGAGCACAAGTTTCCAGAAGGCAGATAGATAACTGTGTGTAAATAGTTGTAGAGTTTAATTCGTGGTTTCCGGATACAAGAACTCTAGATTTAGAAGTCTGGGACAAAGTTAGAACAAATGTGGATAAAGCCTTTCAAACCGGAGAAACTATACTGCTTGATTTTTGGTCTATGTGGGCACTCATCCGAACAGCTATTATAATAATTAATCAAGGCCCAAATAGCTTGTCACCAACTCAGGTTTTTTGTACTTCTAATGAAGCAGTTAATCTTTATGATGTTCCTGAGGAGTTAAAAAAAATAAAGTTACCAAGGAATAACCAAGGATACATTACGTTACTATCAAGAATACATTACTTCACCAACCGAAACTCACATGACATTGACAGTATCCAAGATTCAGCTGCATAATATTTATAATATCTTAGATATAAGGTATACTGTTTGTGGTTACTCTTAGCAACTACTATAACTCATAATTTCTTTATAGTAACCAAGCTATCAGTGCTGAGAAATTCCGGTGCTCATAAACTGAAACAGAACTCTTGGTTATGTTTCTAAGACTGCCAATTAATCAGGGAAGCATAGCCTGTCAACTCTGATCACAGAAGCAGAGAGCAGGGAAACTCTTAAAGTGGAAGCATTCTTTCTCCAACGTTTAAGTCAAGGCAAGCTGCCACAGCCTAATGTAGCAATGACTGTGCTTATTAGCTCCCAACATTTCCCCCTTTCTGATTTATTAAATGCCACATCCAGTATGGAAAGACTGTGCCTGTCTTAGGTTGTCCTCTGCAAGAGCAAAGCCTTACCCATCATTGGCACGCAGCTTCAAGCAGCTACACCCTGTCTTAGGTTGACTTTCTCCCAGAAGATCTTACCCGTCATTGACTACCGGCCATGGGGAAGGAGCACGCACAGTAGCCTTGACAAGCCACAAGAATATAACATATCTGGTATCCTCTGCCAAGCTTCCGGTCAAACTGAACTGATCAGATTGATCAGGCCTTAACAAATTTCTATGCTGAAAAAATTTCACATACTTATATAGAAATATGTAAACATATGCATACATACACTTATGTAGGTACACATATATACATATAATATTGATATTTAGAGGATTTTTTTGAAGGGAGGACTTCTCATTTTGTCCAAATGAAATATCATAAAATCTTCCCTACATATTTCTATTTTTCACTAATACTTTAACTGTGAAAAAAAAAAAAACTTCTTAGTTTGCTAATATAAATGGCTACATTTTCAATGGCTGCATTTGGTATTTATATGTCAAGTATCCTTTTTTAATTTTAAGGGTTTTTTGTTTGTCACAAAGCACATGGTGCAATGAATATCCTTACATATCTATCATTGTACATCTATCCTTGTCTATTATTTTATTTGTTTGTATTGGTATGACACAAAATAGAAATTGCCTGGTAGATTAATATATGAATTAAAAAAATATTTTACTTATTATTTTTATTTTATATGTATGAGTGTTATGCCTGCATGTAAGTAAGTACATCCGTGTCGTGCAATGCCTGCGGAGGACACAAGAGATTGTTGGATCCCCTGGAACGGGAGTTACGGAAAGTTGTTAGCTGCCATGTGGGTGCTGAGATTCAACCTGGGTCTTCTGCAAGAACAGCCAGTGTTCTTAACTGCTGGGTCATCTCTCCAGCCCAATATATGAATTTTAAAATTTAAAATTGCCAGAACCTGTCCCCAAGAGTCTATAACACTTCACTATCTCAGAATTTAGTCTTTTAACTTGCTCTGTTTTTGTCTTCAACTTTATTCTTTTCTTTATGATTTTTGTTTTCACTTTATTCTTTCATTTATAAAACTGTTAAAAATCTATTCATGGAGCTGGAGAGAGAGCTCAGTGGTTAAGAGCACTGACTGCTCTTGCAGAGGACCTGGGTTTGATTTCCCATACCCACGACAGCTATGAACCATCCTTAATCCAGTTCCAGGGGAATCCAAAGCTCTCTTCTGACCTCTGAGGCATTGCACGACACAGGTGCACTCACATACATGCAGGCAATACACTCATACACATAAAATAAAAATAATAAAATATTAAAAAAAATCTATTCCCTCATCATTTTTGTCATTGTAATTGATATATTTGTAAAACATTACCATTAATCTGGAGTAGAGAAAGGGTATGATTTCTGAATATACTTATATCCCATCATCATCCTGAAATCTTAAGCTACTAGTAGGATACTCTCTTTTTCCAATATTAATACTAATTATTTTATTTTCTTATTTTACTGCAATTACCTTTTGTCTTCAAAATTATTTGTGAAATAGTAGTTGTTTTACTATAGGAGGAAAAGCAACTTAGTAAAACACTGTTTAATAAGCAATACACAGTCCCAAGGCCAAAGTCAGATGGTTAATAATGTTTGCTAAAACTAGTGTCATGTGTCTACTGCCTACAGGGCTATATATTATCTTTTATTAAATACACTATAAAAGTGGGGCACTAAATCCTTCATAATATTAAAGTTAAAATATTTGATTTTATTCACATCAAAATTCCAAAAATAGTAACAAACATTAAATTTCATTTACATCATTCTAGGTGAGCACAAAAATACTAACCTTCAAATTCAACTGAGATTTTCCAGTGTAAATTCTGAAGGTGTCGTCGTAGTTTATGACTATTAAAAGCTCTGAATTTTTCCTTAGGGCACAATGGACAAGCCTTTCTGTTTTCTTTAAAAAAAAAAAAAAAAAAAAAAAAAGGAGGAAGATTAAAAAGCACAGAATATACCAGCTATTAATACTTGGCTATACACCCTCTGTACTCCCATCCTGCTTTTCAGATAAAGCCTTTCTTAACTTTAGGAAGAACATATTTTATCTCTCACTCAGGATCTTGTTTCCAACAATTATAGTATATGATCAATGACTGGTTTTTTTTAACCTTGGAACTCTCCTATCTTTGAGTAGCCGATGACCTTTTTTGCTTGTAGAAACAGAGGTTTACAAAATGGTATGTTCGAGTGGGTATGGTAGTGCATGCCTTTAATCCTGGCACTAGGGAGGCAGAGGCAGGTGGCTCTCTATGAATTCAAGGTCAGTCTGGTTTACATCCAGGTCAACTGGGGCTATAGGAAGACTGTTTCAAAAAGACAAAAAAAAAAAAAAAAAAAAAAAAAAAAAAAGAAAAGAAAAAGAAAAAGAATGCTCATCAGATAAACTGTTTGCCACAGAGACTATCATTCAGTACTTTAGATGGGAAAAAACCCAGCTTTTATCGCAGTTCTAGAAGGGCAGGGTTGAGATCCCTAAGTATCTGCTATTATAGTTCATTACCACTGTGGCACCAGCAAAGACAGGTAACATATGGGGTAAGAAAAAAAATGAAAGACAGAGTGGGATGAGATCAAATATAATATATTACTATTCTGAGACTAGATGCATAATTAAAACCAATGTATCCTGAATTTCACTGTACTACTAAATTTATGTTTTTTCTTCTTTATAATAGATTCCTGAAAAGACTCTGGATTAACAAAATAGAATACTTACTTAACAATACAATAGATGTTAAATAAAACTTCTAATAAATAGTATATAAAAATTAAAATCTTGGACTGGCAAGATGGCTAAGTGAGTGAAGGTAGTTACTTGCTGCCAAACCTGACTATCTACGTTTAATGCCTGGGACCATCATGGTGAAAAAAAGAGATCCAACTTTCTAAAGTTGTCCTCAACTCCACACACATGCCATGCTATGTGACACACACAGGATTTAAAAAAAAAAAAACCTTTAAAAAAAATTTTATGTGTATGAGTGTACTGCCTGAATGTATGTATGTAGACCCATGCCATGCAATGCCATGGAGGTTAGAAGATGGTGTTGGATTCCCCTGGAACTGGAGTTACAGATGTTTATTAGACACCATGTTGGTGCTGGGAACTGAACCTGGGTCCTTTTCAAGAGTAGCCAGTGCTCTTAACCACTGAGCCATCTCTCCAGCCCCCATATACAAATGGAATTTTTTGTTTTTTGGTTTTTTTGAGATAGGGTTTCCCTGTAGCCCCAGCTGGCCTTCCACTCACTATGTAGACCAGGCTGGCCTCAAACTCACAGAGATCCACCTGCCTCTGCTTCCCAAGTGCTGGAATTAAAGGAATGAACTAAAATCTCAAATTCAAGTTTAAAGCAATATAGAGAATAATTTACCTAATAAATTTTAATTCAACAAGTATCTTTTACATATGTTAATGTTTCATATACACTGCATATATACATGTGATACATATATATGAAAAAAAAAGAGAAAACCAAGTACTCAGAAGAGCAGAGAAGAGGCAGGTGAGATGGTTCAGTGGGTAAAAGGAACTTGCACCAAGCCTTAGTTTGATTCTTGGGATGCACACAGGAGAGAACTGTCCCTCATAACTGTGCTGTGGCATGCCCCCACTCCAAATAAAATGCGATTAAAAAAGAACAGCAGAGCAAAGGAGGGAGAATGGAACACTGACAACATTATAAAACTCCTGTATCAACCTTCAGTTACCTGTCTTGAAACTTTCTTTTATATAGGGAATTTTAACTTGTTATTTAAAACATTGTTTTGGGGAAATCTCTTGTACCCAATTAAATTACCAGTTTATAGAAAACACAGCCCTTAAACATCCATGATAATTTAAATTCTTACAGAGTTATAATAAAGAGCCGGGTATGGTGGTACACACCTTTAATCCCAGCACTCAGGAGGCAGAGGCAGGAGAATCTCTGAGTTCAAGGCCAGCCTGGTCTACACAGTGAGTTCCAGGTCAGATGGTGCTACAAAGAGACCCTGTCTCAAAAAAAAAAAAAAAAAAAAAAA